ACAGCCCAAGGGAGAGGACGCACAGCCCGTGTCATCGAGTTCGGGGCAGACACCAGGGAACTATGCACAGCTCCACAAAGTCCACTTCCAGTGATCATTTGGAGTCTTTTCTCACATGTTTGTACAAATGTTAAATTTTACATTCGTTAACAGCTCTGTCAGTAATTTACTGCTCCTCTCTGTGTCTCTATCATTCACGCTGTCCACTGTGAACCGAATCAAGCCAGACCGTTTCCAATTTTGTCAGGATGGTGGAGGCAGCACGAAATCTGATGGAGGGAGCTCACAATTCTCTATGCAGAAAATAAATTGTGCAGCCTTAATGGAGAGGGCAGCTAAGCCACAGAACAGGGACATAGTTTGTTGGTTATAGCCAGTAGTCATTCATCCTTTTCCCAGGTTACCTCAATGAGTCTCTGTGCAGCCCCTCATCGAAGCCCTAAGCTCGGATAAACACACAAAATCCCAGAGATCATTAGCCAGCGCCCCAAACAGACTAATGTCTTGTCTGTGTCGAATGTTTCACTTGTCTGGCTCATCTCTCAGGTATAGATTTACTGTGTAACACCGACTGGATTTTATTGTAGGTGATTTCTTTATTTTGACTCATTAATGTTTAAACTTCTTGTTTTACTATGAAAGGCTGAAGAATTTCAGAAAACAAATTTAACGCTGAATATTCAGGGCCATGTTGAAGAAAACTAAATTAATTTTAAGTTGTAGTTTAATGAGATTTAATGAGGAAAAAGTAAGAATGTTTTGAGAAAAAGACGTTATTGTATCAAAATGAAGTTTTAATTTATTGAGAGGAAAGTCATAATCTGACAAGGATAAAGTCATAAATGAGAATAAAGAGAATAAATAACAATTAAAAATGTCATAATACTATTTTCATAATACAGCTTTTTCCACAATATTATGACAAAATCTCTATTTCTTTCTCTTTAAGACTCCAATACTGCAGTGTACTGTTTCCTGTTATCATAATAACATTAGTTTATAATTCCTACTTGTCTGAGCACACAAATTAGTGTTTATTCTCCGTCATTTGTTTTTAATTTGAACAGCCAAGAGGCATAATGTAACTCAATTATACTGAAATGATGTAACAGCGTCCAATGAAATAGCTCGCTGGAAGTTCACTTAAGAGTGAGAAGTTCTCAAATAGCCCTTGTTTCCATAAATAAAGAGAATTACGCTCACACATTTTTATTGGAAGTGGGTAGGAGCAGATGGATTTAAGTGCTGAGGAGCGAAGTAATGTGATTAAATGTAATAAAGAAAGCAGTGGGAATGTTGGATATATTTTATTATTGTACATTCAATCGGGTTTTGAATTGGATAAATATGATTGCAGTTTTTCAACGGTCACAGAAGAATAAATCTTGGAAGTGTAAAACACTCCTGAGACATAGGCAGATTTTAACCAAACCCTTAGTACCATGACATGCTTTAGATAAACTAGACAGTGTCATACAACATCAGCATTTCATCTCCTACATGCTACAGCAGCAGTTTGTAAAAAACCTTAAATCCAGCATGGTACATAGAGATTTCCAGTTTAAAAATATCTTATATATATATATCTCTATAACTCAAGTGACGTGGTCGGCTGGTAAAAGAAACATACTGACGCCATTACAGAGGGTCAACAGACAACTGAGCTGATCAATTGTGTCAAAAGTGTCACCTTCACCTTCATCTCTGATACATCTTGACATTATACAGCTTTTATCTTTGAGTGCATTAAGGAGAGCATGTCAATAACAGAGACAATGGTGACACCTATTGGACAAGTTTGACCACTACATTCAAAACGTTGGTGCCTGAGGGCAAAAAATTACATTACCGCGATCAAGGTATCGTCATGCACGCTGTTAAAAATCCTATAGAGGTTTTTCTTTTGTTCAGTAAATAAATAAATAGTTGTCATCATGAGGATAAACATGATGGGTTAGGTAGTCTAACTAATATAGTTAAAATACATATCCAGGCCAGTTGATATGAGAAAAGCAACAAAAAAAAACACAAATAACAAATGTTAGATGTCCTGTGAAGTTAACATGAGAATACAGCTTCCAGAGTATGGAGTTAAAATTTCCAGTTTGATTATCAAAAAGTACTTAAGCATGGATCAGTGAACTGGAGAGATATGCCAACAAAACAGAATATAATCTGATCACACAAAAATCACAGTGATCAACAAGGTGCTAATCTGTCAATTCATGCAATTTAAACAACTAACCACTCTACTACTGAGACTTTTAGATATCCGAGGTATGTGAGGTTGTGACGTATATATTATTCTCTCGACTTCTTCATTGAGATTAGAAATACAGTATTCAGGATTCATTAAGGTTAGGAGAGAATAAATAAAGCTTGTTAATCACCTAAGTCTGTGTCTACTCTGCTACAATGTGAATTTCCTTCATACATAAATAAATAACATATATTCTACATACTCTCATGTTTATGAGGTAAAACAGAAGAATCAAGACTTTAAGAGGGTACACTTGATCTGATCTGTTAACAGAGAGCTCTTTCCAGGGGAACACAAAAAGTGATGAACCTAGAACTTGCTGTAAAATGTTATTTTAGATATCAAAGTTAGCCACTATTGGTATTTGGTTGTGATATTGGCAACACATTTGTTTATTTAGCTATATTGAGTGTATTAGCTACATGTTTGTATATTTGGTTGTGTTGTGTTAGCAACATGTTTGTATATTTGGTTGTGTTTTGTATAAGACGCATGTGTGTTTTGTTGTGTGTTAGCCACGTTTGTGGCTGTGTGTGTATTTGCAAGAGGACATGGCTAATGACACCGAACCTATCCAACTCTGAAAGTGCTTCAAGTGGCTACAAGTGGCACTGTATGATTAATTTCCTCTTCTACTAGAACATTCAAATGAATGTCCCCATTCTTATGGTTGGTCTCAGGATCTTGCATGAGGTTTGTGAAGGAGCAGGCTGCACCCAGCTGGTAGTGATTCGCAATGGGCTTCTCCACCTGCGTCTTTGACCTCTCTTTCTTCGACTTGTTCCTTCCCTGAAACTCTGCAGTGATCTCCGCCAGCGTCTTGCCTTTCGTCTCTGGTAAGGTGAGCCCCAAAAACACAGGTGACACCAAGCACACGACCAGGAAAGGCAGGAAGCAGTAGTTCCCCAAGTTTTTGACGATGAAGGGGAACAGCATTCCCACCAAGAACAGACTTATCCACATGAATGAGCCAGCAACCATGTACGCTGCCGGGCGGGCTGCCTGGTCAAAGATCTCAGCTGGCAGGATCCCTGTCACCCCTGCAGGGCCAAGGCCAAAGCTGAGGATGTAGGCAAACACGCAGACCATGCTGAGGTAGGCCATCCCCGCCACTCCACGGCTCTGGAGGATGAGAGCCACGGTGAAGACTACAGACCAGCATGACATAAGACTGTACCCTCCAACAAGAAGGTACTTGCGACCCACACGTTCAATCAGAAGATTACTCAGTATAGAAGCGCACAGCTCAGATGCGCCTGTGCCGATGGTTACATACTGGATCTTATCTGAAGGGATCCCTGCTTCGAGAAAGATGTAGGAAGCATAGAAGTAGATTGAGTCATTTCCACAGAGCATCATGGCACTACTGGCGGCCATGACTGTTCTGAGCTGGGAACGCAGGTCACGATCCTTAAACAGGGACCAGGGTGACTTGGCAGCTGCAGATCCAGACTTCAGAGATGTTGATTGTTGCTGCTGCTGCTCCTGAAGGAGCTCCTCGATCTCCAGGGCCGGAGGCTCCCCACCACGGAGTCTCCCAAGTGCCTGGAGGCACCCTTCTTTGTCTCCCCGGTCAATCAGTAGGTATCTGGGGCTCTCCGGAAACCAGGGTAGGGTCAGCAGCTGGATCAACCCCGGCAAAGCATTACTAGCAAGTAAGTAGGGCCACAGAGGCTTAGAACCCAGCAGCTCTGTGAGTCCCACAACCTGACCCAAGAAAATCCCAAATGCAGTGAAAACAGCTGAGGAAAACGCCACAGCGCCTCTGAGGTGTTTAGGGGCGCTCTCCCCAAAATACATAGGCTGGACGTTCATGCTCACACCAGAGTTCATCCCCACCAGAAAGCGGGCAATGATGATCATCTCAAATGACTTTGCCGCCCTGCACATCAGGACAAGCACGGTGCCAACAAACAGGAACGCGTTGTTCAAAAGCAGAGACTTCTTTCTTCCAAAGTGGACGGCCATAGGCCCTGCGAGCAGCGCGCCCACTAAGCCTCCCAGAGAGAAGAAAGACACAATCAAAGTCCACACCAGGGTCACTTGAGGTATGTCCAAGCTTATGCCCCAGCGCTCCATGTAGGTCTCATTGATGAAGCTCTGGATGTAGCTCGTCGGAGAGTTGATGATGGAGATGTTGTAGCCATACTGGAAGGTGCCACCAATGGCTGCAGAGCACACAGTCAATGCAAGGATCCTGGTACTTCCTAAGGATGGGGTGGTTTGCTCTGGCTCAGATTCACCTGAGAAATTCATCTTCATGCCAAGCAGCTTTCCCAGAACACAAACAATCCTGATGCCTCTTCTGTCTGGAGCCTTCAGCTCCTCGGTCCCTTAGAAGGACTGCAGTTAACTTGTGATGGCTTCAGATTCAAACGTAACTGCACTGCAGAATAACACACCTCACTCAGAGTGCGTCCTGTGGTTGAGTAAATATTCTACTTGGTGTCTGTCGGCGGTTTAGATTGAAAGACGCAATCTGTGTCCTCAGTGTGTTCCGTCAGGCAACAAGAACTCACGCATGATCTGTATCACACCTCCTTGCTAAACCAATGAAAGAGGTCCTAGGGTAAAACTAGGTGCTTTAGTTTGACTCAACAATCATTATAGAACTCATGAGCACAGATACCAGAGATAAATTACTGGTGAAATGAAAAGAAAACACCCTGACAGACTTCATAGAGGGAATACAAATCCCTATAGTCCTCCACCGCTGTCTGATTACGATCGCTTCTGTGATTGGTTTACAGCAAGCTGACGCGTTACGTCATCTGTGTGCGACTAATAGTGTTTGCGGGCAGGCAGAAAGATGTAAGTAAACGCCCCCATTTATATTAGAATTTATTTTTTTATTCTCATGTTAAACTAGAAAATAACAACACGGAGAGGTTCAAGTGAAATAAATCACATAGCTTGTTTTTTAACAGCGTTAACCTGACATCCAACAGAACACAACCAACCGATGTTAGCTCGCTAATGCTAACACGGAGTAGTGTTTGGCGAAGAGAGACTTATGTTATTTATATCCCGCTGTGGTGATAAGAATCAATACACCGCGCACACATTACGTACATGTACATCGACTACTAAATGGAAAATATACATATGTTAACTCGAGATTAGTTTAGAGATTATTTTATTTTCAGTGCAGCGTGATTTATTTTCATCATCTGAGTCTGACTTGTCGATTCCTGCTCTGAATGATCAGATTCATCTCCAGATCAGATGGGTATTATTGTTGTGTAATTAATTAGACAAGTGTATATTTGTACTGACCATGTTATTACTATTGTTGTTTTCATTATCGAGGTTTAGCTGTTTCATTGGACGGTGATGTTAGATTGCAGTCCTCTTACGCCCATTCTTTAAAATCAAACCCATGTTGTATAACGAAAAACTAATTATTTGTGCAGACATGTCTTCTTTAATCAAATGTTGATATATTTGCAGTATTGGTTCCGTCAATGGAAACCTGTGCAGTTTAATGAATTAACATTTCTGCTTTTGCTGTTTGCAAACCCCAGATACTATGGGGCTTGGGTGATATGGCCCAAACATTATAGTAAGATATACAATTTTCAACATAATAATAATTATCACAATAAACAACACATTATTATCCACTTGATATTTACACAAAGATTTTGCTCCTGAGTGAAGGTGGTGGTTTCAAACTCAAGACTAACACTTCTACAATCTGAGGTAGATCAACGCACAGTGCTCGCTGAAAATGATAGTGTGATCATTATTAGCCAGAGGTGCCTCTTACGTGCAAGTGATACAACTTCTTGTGAAGGTATTCTAATTTATTAACGGCTCAGTTTCACTCATTTGTTGTCTTTTCCTTCAATAGGGCACCGTCCCCAACCAAGAGGAAGGAGGATGACAAGAGTAAACAGCGTGGTAAGGAGAAGTCAGGAGCCACGAAAGACGGCACTGAGAAAAAACGTGAGCACCGCGGCCGTGAGAAGAACCGTACACGGCGCAGTGCTTCCAGTGGCAGCAGCAGGTCAGAGGCTAGGTTTACAAAATACAACAGTTTTTATCATTTTCATTTGTTTTTCTACATATGAGAAGAAAAGGTTCGACCAGAGGTGGAATGATTTCTGCAGTGGTGCTCCGTTTGTCACTATTGAGCTGATTTGTGTTCGGCACAGGAGCTGGAGCATTTTTACTTATTGCTTCTCATCCTCCACCCTGCTGTTGTTTAGGTCCAGCTCCAGCAGCAGCTCAGGATCCAGCTCCGGCTCGTCCAGCGGCTCCAGCTCCTCGGCCTCGAGCCACTCGGGCTCGTCCAGCTCCCGCTCCTCATCCTCCTCCTCATCATCCTCTTCGCCAAGCCCCAGCCGCCAGCGCCACAACAACAGACGACGCTCACGCTCAAAGTATGAAATGAGTCATGTTGAAATAGTTTGATGGAATGAGCAAGTAGTTCTATCTTATTTCATCTATTATTTATTGAATTCCATCTGAATCTCATTCTACGGGGACACATAACTGCTTTGGTTGGTGGAAAACTAAATTTCAGAGGATAATAAAGCTCAATAAAAAAATTAGCTCCTCTTTTTTAGTTGCATTAACACATGAATACTTTTTATTTTAATTCTTAAGAACATTTGATGCAAATATTTTTGCACTTTTAGAGTTATTCAAATGATTGCTTGTATATCACTTGTAATATATTGTAAATATAGAATATTGCTTCTCTTGCTTATGTAAATGATCCCAGCACATTTCTCACCTCTGATAAATGAATCGTAAAAAACATCACTGTAGGTCAAAATCTGCTAAGAAGGACGACAGGGACAGACGACGTAGAAGTCCCACGCCCAAACCCACCAAGGTTTACCTGGGCCGGCTGACAAGAAACATCATCAAGGTAAATACCCTCATAACAAGCTACTGGCCTCTGTGACTCTGCTGTGAATTGAGATGCTGCTGCTGCATCTGCCAGTTACAGTAATTTGTGCCTATGAGGGAAAAAAGGCAACACATGAAAATGTTGACAACAAACCACCAATACATTCCATATTTCTTATTTTTTAGGTTTTGCCAGAATCAAAGAAAAATCTGGAAGATCAGAACAAATAATGAGTAATGTAATATAAAGACAAGTAATAAACAAACTGCACTGAACAGTTTGCACCATTAGAAGATTGTCGATTGTGTAGAATTTGAGCACTAACTCTTGGAATAGAATGAAATATATGAAATATTTCCTTCTGGTTCCTGTTAAAATATGTTTTTGTATTTGTGTGCATACAGTTTGTAAACCACGCAGTCAGATTCAGAGTCCATGTTCTCTCTTCCGTGGTTTGGAGGGGAAAGGCACAGTGAAAAAAACATTTAACAAGGATAGGCGGACATTTGCATTCACACGCACACCTACTGCTGAGAATGTCCGGAGGGTCTCTGGAGTTCAATGCTTGTTTGAAAGCAGCTTAAAGGTAGTTGGTGGAGCAAATGTCCAAATGTCCTACTTTCTGTTGTTGAAGGAACACATCCAGGAGATTTTCTCCACCTATGGAAAGATCAAGATGATTGACATGCCTGTGAACCGCACCCACCCTCACCTGTATAAAGGCTACGCTTACGTGGAGTTTGAGACGCCTGACGAGGCGGAGAAGGCCCTGAAACACATGGACGGAGGTAAGAGGATGTAGGGGAACATGAACGCAACAGACATGATGGGAACCATGTTTGAGAAAGTGTAGCTGACACTAATGTGCCTCGAATGTCTGGAAAACTAAGTCCATGTGATGTTTTTCTTTATTTTATTTCCTCCAGGTCAGATTGACGGTCAGGAGATCACAGTCACAGCCGTGCTGACTCCCACAGTGCGCCTGCCGCCTCGCAGGCTGTCCCCTCCCCGCAGGATGCCTCCTCCACCCCCAATGTGGCGTCGCACCCCACCTCGGATGAGGCGAAGGTGAGCAGCATGCAACGAGTCCTGCTGCTTTATTTGGGAACTAAATCTTGTTGTACCACAGCTGATACATTCCCAGACTCCCATCTCACTTTCTCGCTCTTCTAGGTCTCGGTCTCCAAGGCGACGCTCTCCAGTCCGGCGCAGGTCTCGATCCCCTGGCCGCCGCCGTCACCGGTCGCGTTCCAGCTCTAACTCCTCCCGCTAATGATTGGCAAACCCCCCCCCCCGCCTCCTGCCTGGATCTTTTCCTCGGAGGTCGTTGTGACCGAGTAGCTATGACAGACATAAACATTCTTTTGGTTAACTATTAATGTACAATGAATGATGAGAGTGTGGAAAAGTATTATGTGTCACTTGGTAGATTGTTTCAAAATGTTTTTTCAACACTAGAACATGTACTGTGTTAAACGACAAGATTTCTTTCAGGAGTTCTGAATCTAGATGGTCTATACATGAGTGGGGTTGGAGAAGAAAGGAGAAATTAATTTATATTGATAAAAATAACGTTTTGTATCATGTAATTGTTCAATTTGCTTTACACATTTCATGAAGAACATGGTTTGTAAAGATGGCGAATGTGGTTTTTCATTGGACACATTATCTAGTTTCTGAATATGAAGTATTTGTGATGAAAATGTCTGCATTTTATTTTATTTTTTATGTTCTTATGGATTAACACATTAATACCAATATAACATTGGCATTGAATTGATATTGCTGATATCAGTGTAGCTGTACTTTAAGGTGGGGTTGGTAACTTGTTTCTGAAACACTGTCTTATTTGTTGAAATCCTCTCCACGTCCTCATAGCCATCAATGAATTAAGTTTTCTTTATTGGTTACACTTTCCACTCAGAATGTTCTTTTCCAAAACATCCAAGCAAAAAAAGGACAAATAATAGATGATCTGCAGATTGCATCTGTGCTCTTATCACAGATTCGGTAAACTGACTAATGATGAAACGATACTATTATAATTCCAAGGAGGTTCACAGCCTGAATAACTTGTGCAGATCTGGTTTTCAACTGTTTTCTTATTAATGTGTGACACGGTGAACTTTGGATCCAGGCTTCTGTGGTTTTTGTAGAGAGTTGTGTTCATTGTTGGAGCTGAAGGAATTTTCATTACTGTCTGTGTGTGTGTGTCTCATTTTGTATTGCTGGTTTGATGTGCCGTTTAACTTGACAATAAAAAGTCATGGTTGGAACTTTAAAAGCTCCTGAGTAATTTCTTTGTTTGTCAGAAATGTTATAAGCTGCACACACATGCTCGTTGAGGGAGGAAGTTTGAGCAACGAGTCACAGAACAATTCGGTGTCAGATTGTCTCTGAGACGAGCAGCGTGATGAAGTGAGGATTAACATCGGCTAAGTCAGATTCACAGTTTAGTCCCTGTTGATCAGGGTTCAAGATCAGCCACTGTGATGTTTGCAGAGACGCAATGTCACATTGAACCAAACCACATCAATCAAATCTTTAATGATTAACATGATAATCTGCAAGTGCACACTGTGCATTTATCTACCAATTCCACAAATGTGTTTGTGACTCACATATCTCAAGAATCATTAACCTCATCAGCTTCACACTTAGCTCTAATGTTCAGGGCCCAAGGAAGTGCAGTGTCAAATTTGGTGCGACTTAAACATGCAGCGGTGGCTGGGACTCAAACGCAAGGGATTCTGGGTACCGAGTCAAGCTTCACCGAACTTTGAATGAACAGGTGAACAGCTCTTAGTGCAGCAGCGGGTCGCAGCTACAGGGTTCTTTCCATGAAACAATCTTTACTTGGCTTAATTACCACAAGTCACTTTTACAGTTTCAGAATGAAAGCTACAAGCAGCATCACCACAGACCAAAGAACCAGCCCAGTCCAAACAGGCAGGTTTAGAACAGGCACTGCACTAATTCACAAATAATACTAGAAGGACATTTAAGTCTAAAACTCGTGAATGATTAAGCTTTTGGCAGAGAGCGATTTCCATTTCCACCCATTGTGTGGATGCAGTCTCATGCTAATCATAGAATTTAATTGGGTTTTCACTAAATAGTTTTGCTTTGACTAATCAGCTGTCAGCCCTCTCAGCGCGGGGGCCCCAAGCATTTGCCTACATTAGCCACCCTGTCGGTACGCCCCTGGCTAGTCTGTGAAAGTGTGACATAAAGCAAATAACATTCAGCAAAAAGATATCAATTCATTACAAGAAGGAAATGAACAAACACAACCAACTTTAACAAAGCGTTGATGGGCCGGTCAAAATGAACTAAAGGAAAAGCCCACAGACCAAACCACGAAGGATCTGAGGATCTTCCTCTAAACCAACATCAGAACTGAACTGAACACAAACAAAGCTGCGGAAACTGGACGAGCAGACCGATCAGGAAAAGAAACAACACAACATGCTGAACAGGCTGCTGCAGCTGCAACAGAGAGAGACACACTTCCTGCTGCTCCTCTTATGGTTTCCTCTTCATCAGTCAAACACAGTTCACCTGAGGAGAAGAACCAGGACACCGTGGGTGCACATGTAATGTGGAATCTCAATCAGCAGGGGGCAGAGGATGTAACAAAGGTACAGCCTGAATTCAATATTGCAGCACATCACTGTTGGTGGGAGCATCACAGGCAAACATCCCTCCTGCGTCCTCAAAGGACCGTCAGCAAAACTATCCAATCACAACAACAGTATTATCATGAGAATGAAGTTAAATACATCAGTCTTAGGGATTGAGAAGTTTCATTCCTTCTGGATCTAAAATCTTGAAACAAACTCAATGTGAAAATATAAAACCCTGCAGTTTATAACATCCTATTTTCCTTGAAATATTAGAATCATTTTTCTTCAAAATGGGCCTTATACTTTAATTTACCGCTAAGATCAAGTCTTTTTTATTTCCTTTGTTTTAATACACGGCCAATATATCCCTCGTGCATCGTCAGGAAAATGATTCAATCACAACACCAGTAATATTATGAGGATAAAGTTGTAATGTGCCAACAACACATACAATCAGGTCCAAAACTCTGAAGTCACAGCCATATAAATGCACTATCAACAAATGACCAGCAGATGTCGCCAGATCAAGTAACGAATGCTTCACACAGAAGGGTCATATTCACACGGTTAGCACTGCAGGTTGATCAACACACACAGTTTAAATACAAAGGATTTATTCACATGTCCACAGCACACCTCTATATATTACACATTTGATCATATTTACACAATTATTTGATAAAACCTCAAACTGAGGCCACAATATGAACGGTGCCCTCTTCTGGTCACTTTCAGCTTCACACGCACAGCAGTCTGACTTTAATAATCTTTTGTCTGCGTGTCTGCATCTTGTCCCCGACAAACGCTGGACGTGTTCAGGTCAGAGAGACACCATCGTCGTGCATCTGAATATGCAGCTGTGATGTCAGCAGGTCAGGGTTCCGAGTCTGTGTCCGCCTGGTTAGGAGGAGCGTCCACCAGGTCCTTGAATCCCAGTTTCTCCAGAGGCTCCTGGGCCATCAGCTGACTGGAAAACCCACAACAAGAAGGAAAACTTTCAGCTCTGATTAAATAAATGACATGTTTTTGGTTTTCGACCACAGTTGCCGTGGTTTGTCTTTACAAAAGCTGAAAATGAAAGAGGGAGCCCATGTGAGAATAATATGGCAGGAAAATTCACAGCCGGAGCTTGCTCTCTCTTGACACCTTTGTCTGTCTTGTGTGTAAAAAAAAAAAAGCTTTTTCATCCAGATATGTTTTTCGCATTTTTGCGTCTCCCACGTGTTAGAAACGTCATCAACACGCCCACTCACTCGTGGTGCTTCCTGTGGAGGATCTCCTGCTGTGTTCTCACATCGGCTCCATCAGACTTTCTGCTAGAACACTGGTTGCAGAAAGTCCGGAGCCTCAGCGCATGTCTGACAGCAGCTATGGAAAAAAAGCACTGGAAGACACGATGACGCAGGACACAGGTAACATCAGACTGGAATTTCTCCTGTTTGTCCAGGAAGTCAAAACCTTCCGTGTCACTTGGACCAGCTCCAATTTCAAGACATTTCTTGAGCTCATGTCTGAAAACAGCTTGAGTCACAACATGTAAGGACTGTGTGAAAAGTGTCGGCTTTATTTTTCAGGGACGGTTCTTACTTTTTCATGCGGCATTCCAGGTAGTCTTTGGACTGCAGGCGACACTGAGAGTTGTCGAAGCTGCTGTCTCTCAGACATTTCATAAACTTCTCCTTGAAGTCTTTACACTCTCCTGAAATAAAATGAGCCAAAAATCCACGTTACATACTGTTCGTCATGTTATTGATATAAATATTACCTTGTTTGTTACTGCAGGGATGTTTTATTTTGAAGATTCCCTATGACGGAATGCTATAATGTGATGTACTGTTGGTATCAGTTCAGAGTCTGTTTTATCCCATTTTACATGATGGCGTGCCAACTTGAAATATTTCTTTCTTTTAAACGTAATATATAGAAGAGGCTTCTGGGTAATGTGGGACATCAGATGACGTGAGGACACAGCATGTCCCACACCTGTCAGATTTGATTCAGTAACATTAAGGATTTAGAAATCAGCTACACACAAGACTGAATGAAATTTATATACGTCACATTTTTAGGAAACAGCGAGTCAAAAAACACAGTACACATTTTCATTTTGTTTGTTTTGAGTGCGATAATTCACCCTCCCTCTCCCACCACAATCATTTTCATACAATCCCAAACCACACGTGGGCTTTAACCCATGTGTAAAAACCATAGACTGCATATAAAGAGGTAAAAACGCAAAATCATAATTAGAACAATGATAAACTTGATTTATATATAGCATAGTTGTGGTACTCTGCTGTTTTGTGTTTCAATTGTTGTGTTTTTTGGACAATAAATGTATTTTTATCTTTGTAAGTTTTCCTGGATAAATAAAGGTTGAAAAAGAAATAAACAAAATATCAAGCTGCAAGATGTTTTGGGCCATTCAGCATTTTATGAGAAGAGTGATTAGATCATAGTCAGTGGGTAGAGAAGTACTGTGTGTGTGTGTGTGTGTGTGTGTCTTCTCACCGAGATGATCCAGGGGGAAGGAGCCTTTCTCCGGAGCTCGAGGTTTGAAAGCCTTGGAGCCGAAGTTCATGGCAGTGGACATGTTTGTTTACCTGACTCCTGGTCACCGCCACAGACAGAAACGAGCCTGCTGTCGCCTGAATGTGACGTATTAGCCGGAGACAGACATTAGTAGTAGAGCGGATCTCATCGATGGTAAAACAGCACACATGAACTCTGGCTTCTACACTGAATTCTAATCAGAAACCACATTAAGATCATTACTAGAAAATCATAATTAAACATTTAGGGGTGCAGCATGGAGAAAATATCAATGTGGCTCAATCCTGTCAAATACAATGTTATAATACAAACCCAAGAGTCATGTTTTTATTTATTAACTCATAAGAAACGTTAACAGTGGTGCAATGAGATCCAGAATCTAGAAAA